AATCCTAACTTAGGCAAACATCCAGAAACAAAATATTGACCATAGTTTGATGGGTAGGGCTTGAATGATACAATGTATGATTATGTACTCAATTTCACAAAATCTCACCTGAAGGGTATAGAGCTGTTTCTGTCTGCTTTCTCTTGTTGTAATTCTCCATAGCCTCTGCTCTACATCCCCTGTCAGTAAACTTCGAGTTCAAAGGTGCGGGAATACCTGCCTTATACTAAGAAATAATTGTATCCCTTTCCACAAGAGACGTGCAAAACACCAGTTCCCTAACCTCGTCCACATATTCTGGGAAAAACAAGGGGAAAACAAAGGATTAATATTCATGTTCATGACCTAAAAAGCATGAGATTCATAGTTTTGGCAGTGTGAGAGGTAGAAAATACTTGTGAAAGCTAGTGTATTCTTTGTATCAGTATGCTCTGGCATTAACTGCAAACTGTGGTTGCTGCATATTATTACACTTACTGTAAGTGGGAGATACTCTTATTTCTCGCACAACTTCTCCAAACTTGTACTTCGGGTAGGTTACTAACAAGTACTCCTTTCCATCCTTTGTCCTTCGGGGGCTCCCTCAGCAAGTTCTCATTAAAATGTAGGTTAGCTAAGATGTACCTAGCACGTAAAACACACCAAGCTACATTATGGACTATAACAGAAATTTTAATGCAAGATTAAATCAAAGCAGTCAGATTTAATTTTGGCTCTGAACACAAATTTTGAAAGAATTTGAAAGGAGGGTAAGGATTTCCATAAAGGAATGTTACCATAATTTAGGAGATGACATGCATCTCCAGCTTTTGGTGATACAATTTTCTTTTCTGATATAATATGATCCCACCTGCAGTATGAGCCAAGCCATGAGAAACATATCATCTTAGGATGAAACTGATTCAAGGTTGAATGGAACCCTTCTAGGGAGCTGTTTTTGTCCTCGCTGGACAACTTTTTGATGTCATTAAGTAGCCATTAAATCGCACGTAAACAAACAATATGAGCATCCAACACCGAAAACCCTTGTTGGTAACTTGGATTAAAATACGAAGTGAATCGTAATTATTATCTCCAGGATTTTTCGTTATGTTTCTTCTTAACTGGCAACGAAACTGTCCGCGAAGACGACGTTAACTTATGAAAATTATTAGAACAAAGAAAGCATGCATTCCACACTTACCGCTTGCGATCTTCTCCTCTCACGAGCGCTTTGTTCGATCACTGGTGCTTGGATAGCGCATTGGATAGTTAGAACTGATCCCGTTTTTAAAACTCGTTTTTCTTTGGGCTTCGTGCTTGAACTTTCTTCAGAGCTCATGCTGTTTTCATTGCTAGTTTATAGTAGTTGATATGTGGCCGGTTTTGGCTCATTTTGTTAAATTACTGATAAATTACGGTAATTTAGTACAAAAACGTCTGGCTCATTTTGTTAAATAAATTTTTGAATTTTTGTTAAATATGCGTTCTGGATCATTTTTTGTTAAATAAATTTTTATTATAATTTATTTAAAGAAATAAAAAAAATATTTAAATAAAATCTTTACTATGATAAAAATGAATTCACAAACAGTGCTTCAGTTGAAAGCACTCGCAAAACACCTAGGGTTGAGAGGATATTCACGTTTGAGAAAAGCAGAGCTCATTGAGTTCATCGAGCGGTCGAGACCAAGAGGGATTGTTAATTTTGTTGAGGAGAGTTTTGTGGAGAGAGCAGGAGGGTCTCTGCTCGATGATCCGATTCCTAAACATGAGATTCCAAAAGGGCAGAAAATCTTGAAACCGTCAAAACCAGCAAAGCTGGTGAAAAAGATTGAGAAGGCTGTTGATTGGGGAAAGAGGGAGGTAGAGGATTGGGGGCATTGGTTGAAGGAGATGGATGCGCCGAGAGTTGTGGTTGATGACAAGTTGAAAGATTTCAAAGCGTATATCACTAAACTCTATGAAAAAAGAGACCAACACCGTTTCACACTTGTTGAGAGCAAGTCTTCATTGAAACAGTTCACGAGGCAGTACACGATTGATGGGGTGGGGGGTTATGGAGCATTGGACTTTCTTCAGACTGTAAAACCGATCGTTATCAACTTTCTATTAACGCAAAAGAGTATCAAGATGGAACTCATCCTCGGATGTAACATGTCAAAGACTAACATTGCGACGGGTGAGACTGTGCTCAAAACTTTTCCTTTTGCATCTTTCATGGAGATTGTCTTTCAAGAGACTGATCGAGAAGGGCTTTATCAGAGGTGTGTTGACAAAATGATGGAGAGCTTGGCTAGTTTTCAAAGGAATGGAAGCGGTTGGGTTTTGCATTCGATTGCGGGGTTGGATTTGTATATGGTGAAATACACTCCTTTGAAAGGCTCCTCATACATTGAGCTATCACCACATCTCGCAAAAAAGAAGGCCATCATAAACATGAAGAATGAGGATGACGAATGTTTCAAATGGTGTGTCACGAGAGCTTTGAATCCTGTGGAAAAGAACCAAGAGCGTGTCACAAAGATTTTGAGAGAGCAGGCAAAGATATTGAGATGGGATGGGATAAAGTTTCCGATGGAGGTAAAGAGCATTCACCGTTTTGAAACATTGAATCCAAGTCTTGCTGTCAACGTCTACATGTATGAAGGAGGACTCAAACCCTTGAGAGTGAGCAATGTCGAGAGCAACAAGCCTCGCATCCATCTTCTTTTCATCTCTGATGGTGATAAGCAGCATTACTGTCTCATCAAATCTTTGAGTCGGCTCGTATCGAGTTATTTGTCGAAGAAAGAACACAAGAAGTTTATCTGTGAGAGATGTCTCAATCATTTCGGAACTCAGAAACTACTTGATACACATATTGAACTTTGTGGAGAACATGAGGCTGTGAGAGAGAGGATGCCACCTTCTGAAACTTTTCTCTCTTTCAAAAACCATCACAAGAAGATGGACATGCCGTTCGTCATCTATGCTGACTTTGAATCGATCATCAAACCTTTGCACACCGTTCAACCAAATCCTAAAAAGTGTTACACCGAGAAGAAGCAGAAACATATCCCGGTGAGTTTTTGCTACTTTGTTAAATGCTCTTTCGATGACAAACATTCGAAACTGGTTGAATACACAGCAAAGTCTGAGGATGAAGATGTTGCACAGATATTTGTTGACATGCTTGAAGAGGAGGTTAAGGCAATATACAAAAACCATCCCACAAAAGAGATGATCTTCGAAGACAGTGATGCTGAAATCTTTGAAAAAGCAACGTGTTGTTGGTTATGTGGAGAGGATTTCAAGAAGGAAGACATGAAGGTTCGTGATCATTGTCATTACACTGGTAAATTTCGAGGAGCTGCGCATAACAGTTGCAACCTGAGATTCCGACGACCAAAATTCACTCCTGTAGTCTTTCACAACTTAGCAAACTATGACGCACATCTCTTCGTTAGAAATCTCGGCGTTTCAGAAGGTGACATTAATTGCATTCCCAACAACGAAGAAAAATACATCAGCTTCACAAAAAGCATTGAAGTTAACAAGTTTTTCGATTTCGAGAAAGAAAAAGACATTGTTGTCAAGAGAGAGTTGAGGTTCATTGACAGCTTCAAATTCATGGCTTCTAGTCTTGCCAAGCTTGTCAACAACCTCACCAAAAAGGGTGACTCTTTTGAAAATGTAGGAAGATACTTTGATGGAGAGAAGATTGAACTGTTGAAGAGAAAGGGTGTCTATCCTTATGAATGGTTGGATTCTATCAACAGACTAGATGAAACTGAACTTCCACCGATCGAAGCTTTCTTCTCTGTTCTCAGTGGTAGTGGGATCTCTGAAAAAGATTATGATCATGCACAAGAAGTATGGAAAACCTTCGGAATGAAGACGATGCGAGACTATCACAATCTTTACAATCGAAGTGATGTTCTATTTTTGTGTGATGTTTTTGAGAACTTTCGGAAGGTTTGCAAGGAGAACTACGACCTCGACCCCTGTTGGTACTACACCGCACCTGGGTTGGCTTGGGATGCATGTCTCAAAATGACACAGATCAATCTTGAGCTGTTGAGCGATCCAAACATGTTGCATATGTTTGAGAAAGGTATTCGTGGAGGTATCTCAATGATTACAACAAGACATTCTCAAGCCAACAACAGATACATGGGGGAGAGGTTTGACACCACCAAACCTTCAAAGTTTATCACGTATCTTGACGCAAACAACCTCTACGGTTGGGCGATGAGTAAGAGTCTGCCAACGCATGGTTTCAAATGGGTGGATGAAAAAGACTTTGGGGGGTGGAAGAATTTTCCCTGCATTCTTGAGGTTGACTTGCTTCCCGTTGAGAAAGATTTACACGATCACTTTAATGACTATCCCCTCGCTCCTGAGAATCTGTTGGTTGGGAAAGTTCATAAGCTGGTCTGCACCTTGAATGGTAAAAAGAAGTACATCATTCACCATGAGGCTTTGAAGCTTTACATGAGTCTTGGTGTTAAAATTGGAAAGATTCACCGTATCATCAGGTTTGAAGAGAGCTCTTGGATGAAGAAGTATATCGATCTCAACACATCTTTGCGAGCTAAGGCCGACAACGATTTTGAGAAGGACTTTTTCAAACTCATGAACAACTCTGTCTACGGCAAGACGATGGAAAACATTCGGAACCGGGTTGATGTCAGACTTGTCAACTCAGAAGAGAAGGCAGAGAAGTTGGCAAAGAGGCCCAACTTCAAAAATTGCACCATATTCTCCGAAAATCTCTGTGCGATTGAGATGAGAAGGACGCAAATTCTCTTCAACAAACCCGTCTATCTCGGAATGTGTATCCTCGATATCAGCAAGACTCTGATGTATGACTTTCATTACCACTACATCAAATCCAAGTACGGAGACAGAGCAAAGCTTCTTTTCACCGACACAGACAGTCTCTGCTATGAGATTCAGACTGAAGATTTTTACAAAGACATAATTGATGATGTGGACTGTTTGTTTGACACAAGCAACAATTCAAAGGAGCATTCTTCCGGGTTGCCAACCGGTGTGAACAAGAAAGTTATTGGAAAGTTCAAGGATGAGGCGGGTGGAAAAATCATTGAAGAGTTTGTCGGTTTGAGGGCAAAGCTTTACAGCTACAAGATGTTTGATGGGGGGGATGAGAAGAAGAAGTGTAAGGGAGTGAAGACAGGAGTGGTAGAGAGTACCATCAGCTTCGATGACTATAAGAGCTGTCTGTTTGATGGTGGAAAACAGCATCGGAAAATGAACACGCTTCGGAGTCGAAAGCATGAGATGTTTATGGAAGAGATCAATAAAGTCGCCTTGTCTGCTGATGATGACAAGCGAATCATTCTACCAGACAGAGTGAACACACATGCAATTGGACATGAATGAAAAAAAATTTATATGAGTTATCAGTAATTTATAATCCATCAGGATTGTAGATTACTCCATAGATTGATTTCTATTCAAATCTAATTATGTATTTCACTCAACCAATATCTATTGTTTTCTTCATCTCTTCTTTTTTTCCAAGAATTTTCATACCAAATTTTCCAGGGTTTATGTCAAAGTGTTTTGCAGCAGCATACATTGAGGGAAAAACAAGTTCTTCTCCTTGAGAGGTAGTGAGAGACGAGTCTAGCCCTTCCTCAGACTCTCTAACAAGCTTTAGTATTACTTTTCTCTTCACAGCTCTTTCTTTTTTATTGGGAGGGTTTTTGATGTGATCAACCAATTCTTTTTTCTTTAGTCTATGACGACCTACCAAGCCGATCTCTTTCGCTCTTTCCAACAGTGCAGGTCTTGGAAGTGAATCAAGATCGTCTATCTTAGGTATTGGAACTGAATCTATCTTTGGAGGGTTTTTGATCAACTCTATTAGTTGTGCTTTATTGAGATTGTGAAATCTCCTTAGGCCCATATTCTTTGCTTGTTTGGTAAGCCCAATTTTTGTTAAATTGTTAAGATCATTCATTTATATAATTTTTTTTCTCTCTTTAAATCATTTTATACTCCCTGAAGCTCTCTCTCATCAATCCATGAGTTGAATTTTTCTGGATAACCACTCCACTTCACAAGAGCTTTCCCTTTACTCTTTCGAATAACCTTCTCAATGCGGAAAACATCTTGCTTTGCTCTCAACATCTCCTGTTCGTAGAAAGAACCTTTAATCTCTTCTCCGAGCAGATCCTTCAACTTGTAAGTGATGGGGTTGGAATATTGAACCTCGTCAACGATGAAAATCTCTTCTGTCCAATTCGGGGTGAATCCTTTGTCAAACACTTTTCGCTTGAATTTGGAGATTCGAACGTGATCGCCAACCGCAAATTTTGACTGCTCTCGCAACCTCTCGCTTTCGCTCAGATCACCATAAAGTTTCAGAAAGACAGCATTCTCATTCTTTTTCTTAGAAGCCTCTACCGGAGTCATACCGATTGATCTATGTTTTCGATTGTTGTACTTTTTGACAATCTTTGGCAGAATGTCGAGATACTGTGTATTGTTCTGAATGGTAAACTGCTTCCACATCTCCGTTTTGATCGTTCGATTCCACCTCTCACAGACAGACGATTTCTCCTCATTCTCTGTCGAGTACATCTCAACACCTTCAGATTTCATCAAATCTTTAACATGACTGTTGTAATACTCTGACCCTTTATCAACCCAGAGCCTCTTCGGCACCCGCCCCTCGGTAAATATCTTCTCGAAACTCTCCGCCACACTCTCACCCTTTTTATTCTTCAACGGAACGATCCAGCCGTATTTGCTGAAGACATCCAAAACCATCAACAGATAACGATAACCCTTATTCCACTTTGCAAACTTTTGCATCTCCACCAAGTCAGAAGACCAAATCTCATCGATTCTGTTGACAACAACACGTCGTTTTCTAAAGTTTCGTCGCACCGGTCTGTGCAACTCCTCTGCCAATTCCTCTTGCCAACTCTTCAGCTCTTGAGCTTTTTTTTTTCCCCACACCCAGACCAAACTTCTGTTTGGTGTTGATGATGTTTCTCGCAGCCCAATGACCCCACTGCCTCTCACCCACTGGAATCGCATCGAGAGCTTTAACCATCTTACGGTCAGCCACATTCTTACACTTCTTTGGATTCTGCCGGTTCGCACAGACGCTGTAATCAACATCATGTTGCATAGCGACAGCGTCAGTCGGACCTGAGGGTGGGTCATAGATCTCCAAAATCTCTCCTGTCTTTGGATCGTATCGTACCTGATTTTCAAGATCGTTGTACGGCCCTGTATACTTATGACCTGGAAGAGTCCATCCAGATTTCGGTTTTGGTAGTTTTCCGATAGCTTTGTGAATATCGAAGGATCCTCCTTCATAAAGAGGGTTTGTCGGATCATTTACACCATCAGGAGCATACATTGACATTGGATACATTTTTGAATAATCATAAACACTTCCCCCGATTTTTTTACTCATATCGTTAGCAAAAGAATCAAGAGCTTGATCGAGATATTTGTTAGCTGTTTGTTTGATTTTACTCTTAGCATAATCTGAGTTGATAGCTTTTGCAGCACCTTTTCGAGCAAGATAAGCACCGCTGTTAGCCAATCCTTTTAAAGCCATTTCACCTATTGAATGACTGTTTCCTACATCAAACAATGATCCACCTTTTTTTCCACCACTAAAAGTTACCTTTGTAATACCACACTCTGCACATGTTGATTTGATCATTGGTCGACCAATTTTTGCAATCTCTTGTCTTTCACTCCCGGGTACAGACTCAGTCTTTTTTCTCTGTTTAACACAATAACTCTTCAGTTGAGAAATGAAACGATAGAAATATTAGACCACCTCCTCAAAAAAAATAAAATTTCGAAAGAATATTATAGCGCCTATATTCAAAAACACTTAACATGATGGAGACACCTATATATCTCAACTCTTTGACTTGTAATAATGGACCGAGCCAAAATTTGACAACATCTTTCAATCCTGTGATGAGGCTTGATCCAAACAGAGAGTATTTTCTTGCTCTCGATGAAATCGCAATGTCATACAGTTGGTACAATGTGAGTAGCAGCTATGACAATAACAAACTGAAATATAGTAACGATTCGGGTACGACGTGGCATGAGATTGAACTCCCAGATGGGAATTTTGCCTACTCTGAACTGAACGCTTATGTTCAGAGAGAACTTGAGGGATCAAAACATTCAAAGACAGGCATTACAATAAAATTTGTCCCAGCGCTTTTCAAAGTTCTGATCGGTCTCGAAGATGGTTTTCAAATCGATCTGCAAACCGGAAATTTTGCCGACCTCATTGGATTTACAAAAAAGGTTGTCACAACAACTAGCTATGGTGAAAAATCACCTGACATAACAAGATCTGTTGATGACATCTACATTCGCACAAACATCATCTCAGAGAGTGTTGTTGGTGGTAAGCAATCAGATGTGTTGTTTCGATTCAGTGTTGATAATATCCCCCTCTCTTACCCTTTCCATATCGAGCCAAAGAAGAAAAAGTACAGCAAAATAAACACAGGAGCTATAAAAGATTTGCAAATCTACATCACTGATTCACTGGGAAGACCGCTCGACCTCAATGGTCTACCCATATCATTAACACTTCTCCTGAAATAAACGAAGATCGTTCAAAAAAATAGATATTTTATTTCAATTATTTACTTGCATTTGAAATAAAATGGTTCGAAAGCAGATGAAAAGAGATGACAATGGCAAATACATATTACACAATATTGATGACGATCATTCACTTCAAGAGGGTGAAGGGATATTTGACACTCTCAAAAATGTTGGAACTAAAATAGCCACAAAACTCACAGGAAAAGCTGCAAAAGAGATAGCTCAAAAAGCAGCTACGAAAGTGTTTGAGAAGGGAGCAGAGCAAATCGGTGAAAAGACGGGACAGTTAATCGGTGAAAAGATTTATGATAAGTTTTCAAAAACAGACAAACCTAAAGTCACACAATCACCGCAAGTCACACAACACGAAGTGTCACAAATAACATCGGAATGGAAAGAAGATAAAGGTGAAGAGCTTGCAAAGCTATTACAGAAAGATAAGAAGCCGTGGTCAAAAAAATCAACGCCAGTAACTAAAAATAAAAAAGTTGAAAAAGACGATCTCTTTAACGACTTCGCTGAGCTTTTTTTATAAAAAAAATAATCTCTTTTTCTCTAACAAAACACAATGTCTTCCATGCGAACTGCAAAACTTTCGAAGGGGTATGAGTATTATTCATATGAGCTCGATACTCCTCTCCAATCTACACCAGCAAATAACAATTATCAACAGAAGGATGGGTACAAGTTTACCGTTGACACATCAACAGCGTCAGAGACTGTAGCTGACTGGCATAATGCTTATTTTGAAATGGATTTCAAACTCACAAAGATGGACAACACAACCTATGGTGCAGCTGATGCAGCAGCAACAATCAATGGTGGTTTTAGTCTGATAAAAGACATCAAAGTTGATTTTGAGAGCGTGAGAGTTCTCGATTTGCCAAGTGCAAATCACGCTGCAAATGTAAAGAATCTCACCGAGTTTACAGAAGAACATTCGAGAAAAGTAGGTCCTCGCCAATTTCACTACCCCGACACAACCACCGGTGCAGTCATACAAAAGTATACAACACTTGCTCTTGATGGGAATGCGCAGAACTTTGCACCAACAGACAAAAGCTATTACAATGAAGGGTTTACAAAAAGAAAGACTCTTCTCGCCACAGGTGCTGAAAACAACATCCATCTACCACTCAACCGTTTTGGCTTCTTTGAGTCTTTGGAAGAGCAGTTGGCACCCAATGCAAAGGTTACTATTGATGTCTGGCTTGAGGATGATGCAGATGTGTTGTTCAGAGCAAATGCCGCTGCGGCAGGCAGATACATCGTGACAAAGTTCCGCCTGTGGGTGCCGATAATTAAAATGACTGAATCTGGAAGAAATGTATTTCTCGATAACTTCCTCAAACCTCACAGATGGTCTTATCTGAGAGAGGAAATTGTTGTTTCGGGGCCGCTTCGACAAGGAAATGGAACATTGAGAATTACAAATGCTGTCAGAAGACCAAGACATGTTTTCATTTGGGTTCTGAATGCAGCCAAGTTTAACGATCAGGAACAGAACATGTTTGTGTTCAACACTTTCAACATCGCAAATGCAAGATACTTTACAAAGGCTCAACTTCGTGTGCAGAATGGTGAAAAGTATCCTGATCAACAACTAGACCCAAGCACCGAGCTGACAAGAGCATGGACATATCTTGCAGACTATGTAAAACTCATAAGCAACAATCTGTTCGGTCCAACAATTGATGTGAAACAGTTTCAAGATCTCTATGGAATACTTTACTTTGATCTGACACGACAATCATCAGAGCTTCTTAAAGTTACAA